CACATGATTGTTGGAGTTTTTTTCTTTATGTATTATTGTAGGGTCTACCTTACAATATAAAATGCCTTGAGGCGACTGTTGTTGTGATTTGTATAAATTTAAAAAAAATCAACAACAGCACACATAGGCTTGCAAATTTAAAAGCAGTGTGACTGACATGCCAATGTTATTGCCACAAAACAATCAATCCACAAAAAATGTATAGAGAAACTCCACTAAATATTGAGGGCTGTTTCCCAGCCAGTACAGATCCGCACATCAGGGACACACATGTAGACATTAATGCTTCACATCACCACAGAGAGGACCTAGAAATAAAGGGAGAGAAATAAACACAGAATTCCCCCAGGCTAGTCGACAAGTCAAGGAGAGAGATCCGAGGGAGAGAATCACAAGGAGAGTGCTTTCAATAACGGAGGTTTCCATCATTCAGAAGTCTGGTATAACCACTCCATCCAAAGTGACTCCAGTTCAGAGCTTCCCTAAACCTGCATTCTTTTAATAATCCGCAGGGAGCAGATCCTCTGGCTTCTAGAAGAACTTCAGTTGTATAAAATTCAGATACCTTAACCTATGACTCAGGCAAACACTTTCCTGATGTATCTGTGATCTTTATTGTTAGTCTGAAGTCTTATTGGTTAAAACATAATATTAATTTAGTACATTTTTCAACTTGATCAACATCATGAGTTAAATGCTGTCTCATTTTCAGTTTATGGAAGAACTAAAGCAATTTAATGGACTATACATCATTAGTAGTGTCATATAGCAATCACTCCATATCCAATATAATAGTAATATAATAGTGAGATATGTGAATATACTTTTCTTTGAACATTTCTCTGAATATGAGCAGTATTTGGGAAAAACACAATCAGTCACTGGGTAAATAAATGTATGTGGTGCCATTGCAAATAATTTGGTGAGTTCCCTTGTATACTTGAAAGGGGAGAATTTTCTTATCATTAATAACAACTTGATTTCCATGAAAAGCAATTAAGAATTTCATCACAATGGTTACTTTAGCAGCAGGAGCAGGTTTAAATAGTGAATTTTAACATTGAGAAATAACTCAGTGTTAGTGCAGATAAAAGAATTCAATCAACCTGAAAGAGTGCGATATAACAAGCCTGCTGCTTTGTTTTCTCTTTCATACAGTTGGGTCCATAAATAGTTGGACAGTGAACTTTTTGAACTTTTTTTTAATCTTGGTTCTGTACATTAGCACTATGAATTTTAAATGAAACAACTCAGATGCAGATGAAGTGAAGACTTTAAGCTTTAATTTAGTAGGCTGAACTAAAAAAAAAGAGGAACTCCTAAACCCTTCCTCCAATTTGAATGTGGGCGATCGTGGCTCAAGAGTTGGCAGTTTGTCTTGTAATCGGAAGGTTGCCAGTTCGAGCTCGGGATCGGACAGTCTCAGGTGTTGTGTCCTTGGGCAAGATACTTCACCCGTTACCTACTGGTGGTGGTCAGAGGGCCCGGTGGCGCCAGTGTCCGGCAGCCTCACCCCTGTCAGTGCGCCCCAGGGTGGCTGTGGCTACAATGTAGCTTGCAATCACCAGTGTGTGAATGGGTGAATGACTGAATGTAGTGTGAAGCGCTTTGGAGTCCTTAGGGACTAAGTAAAGCGCTATACAAGTACAGGCCGTTTACCATATCCTCAAATGAAAGCTCGCATTTTACACATTATATCCAAGTCCGTTATATAACTATAATTGGAATACGTGTATGTGTCAGTAAACAGGTAAAAAACTACACTTGTACACTGTATTTACTTAATGAGAGATGCAGACATATAATACACTGGATAATCAGCTAAGTAGTACTGGTTAATTTATTTCTTTATTTTGGTATTATTTTATCTTCTCAGTCTTTTGTGGTTCATGAATATTTTCAAGGAGCTGTGACCTTTAACATGTTCTGTTTTGGATTATTAAATACCAATTAGGTAGAACTTGGACTGAAAATAATTTTTACTGCTTCACTGATTCTGTCTGGATCTAAATTCCACCTCTTCTCACTGCTCTGTTGTTCTAAAGCAGCCTCTCTCACACAAATATAACTGTGTTCTCTGTTCTTCAAAGACACCTCTGGAGGTAGCCTGAGGGAAGGCTCTTTTATGCTTTAAGCCATCAATTGACCAATCAAGGATTGCCCAAGAAAAGTGACAGTTGCCACGGGGACAGAAGAGAGTACACAGCGCAAACTATTTTTAATGACAGCACTTTTACTATAAAGGTACCTGAATAAGTCTAAAAAACACTTTGTAGTCTGGCCAGAAGTTGACGGGGCCCAGAACAGCATATACACATTACATGCAATAATTAGCCTGAATAACTAAAGGAAGGCGTGCATGTTATCCTTTTTTTAACTGCTAGGTGGTCTCTATTACATCTCTGACAAGCCATCATCAAGACCGATGCGACATCTGAAGTCTTCTGCACTCCTGACCCTTTCATCAAGGAATTACATTTGGAACATCAAAGATGCAAAAATGACATCATGAAACATGAAGAGAGGCAGAAATTCCTTTTTCCCTTCCATCAATCTGCTTGCTGTTCATAAATGTCAGCCTTAGGGAAATTGAATGGCACCATTTTTCTGTGTTTATTAGGCTGGGATGAACTCAGTCTCATCGACCTTTCAGAGTACATACCCACACCAAGTTAATTGAAGATAAGTCAAACTTGGAGTTCCAAAGGCTGGCAGAGTCTGAGCGCTAAGATCCCCGAGGATACATTGCCTCGATTAAAAGAAAAGAAGAAGAAGAAGAGATGAAGACAGGAAGTTCATTGCAAGATAGGCTTGAGTCCACTGGGAGAATGTCAATTTTTTATTACTTAAATGCCCCGTCTTAAATGCCAAAGTAGTATAATCCCACAAGTCATTACTGATTTGTGGCGAGTTGCTCTCAATAGTGATTTTGGGCTGTTTGTTTGAGCACATTCATTATTTCAAACCAGACTCTGATCTCAAACGGAAATTAAGAACTATATTTACTAAAGAATCAGTAAAATGTAATGTTGTCTGAATAAATTAATTTATTTTTGCTTTGATTTGTTGTGTTATTGATTTTAGGAAAAAAAGATAAAAAAAAGATATATTAATTATCTTATATATATTATTTATCAGGGCTTTGATAATCTTGTCAAAAGAGTGACATCTAGCTGCTTTAATGCCACCATTAAGTTAAGCTAATTAGTGCTAAAATTCCCAATGAAATCAAGCCTAGCGTGTTAGTTCATCCTTTCCAATTAGAATAAAAACATCAAAAGCAGATCTCACAAGCACGTACCATTAGAATTTTTAAAGAAACCATTTAAAACCAACCATTTTCAACCTGCTAAAAAAAAGAACAGAAAAACATCATTGCAGGCTGAATTTAGCCAACCACTGCAACTGGAAAAACCCATATGGAAGCTTAAGGCTTAGACTTGGTTTCCACAAGTAATCCTTTAGAAAAGTTAAAAAACAACAACAACAACAACACAGCTGGAGACAAAGTATAGATTAAACTACTTAAAAATTTAGAACACTTGCATTCAAATCATGATTCCATCTCTCTCCCGCAGCAAACACCAGTATACTGTGCTTTCAAGAGCTCTAGCTACTGGCACTGACCTTAAATTCTACTTGCATTTCTACCCACCAACAAGCAGAGCTGCCTGCATCACCTTTAAATTCTCCTTAGCCTCCATAATCCTACATTTGTTACATTATGTTATTTAGCAATCAATTTGTTATGAAAGTTCAGGAAATTCCTCCTTCACATTATTTTTCCACCCCCAGGAGTGCTTACAGCTACTTCTAGGGACACATTTAATGTGATAGTCTGACAAAAAGGCTCTCATTCCAAGTGATGTCCCCACCAGACACCATTTTCCACCTCCCCACCCAGCCTCTGTCAATATACATCACAAAGACTACTCTTGTTTAGTGTAGCTGCTGTGATTAAAGTGAAGGCTAAGAAAAAACACAGTATGTTCTTAGAATAGCTGTATCATACTTCGGGCTGTTTCACCCACAACACAGATAATCTAAAAAATATGTCTATGTAGGCTATGGGTTTTGCTATTTTGACCCCTCTGACAGCATTTAATAATGCTGTCAGAGGGATCTATATCATATATATGCCACAAATGTCTGAAATCTGTCCTACATGTGCTTTATTTAAACGGCAGTGGCTGTGAAGGTGTAAAAAAGTTGCCTAGACCAAGACATCCATTTTCGTTTAAGCCAAACTGGGTTCCAAACCACAAATAAACAAGGCACTGCAAAATTCATGAATAAAAGGCTCCATCAATATTTCAGTCATGGCTTCATGTAACTAAATTAAGTACCCAGCTGTCTGTTTAGCGCGCACCCCTTGTCTCCACACTGGCTCCGTGCTCTCGGTGCGTCCTTGGACTTCCTAATGTCATGGTACACAATGGCACAGGAGGTTGTAATTCAAATTGGGGTCAGGGGACCCGGGGCACTAAGTGAACATTAAACCGCCTCCCATCCGGTTGGCCTCTGCCCCAAATTAAAATGAGCCATTTCTTCTTTTTACTTCAATTACGTTGCGTACGAAAAAAGGGGGTTCATAGTAAGGAATCCGGTAATAATACGTTCCATTATGAATGTTTGACTTTCTCTGAGCAGAATAAACAGACAATAACAAGATGTTCGTGACCCTGAGCCACCCCCTGCACGAAGCCATTAAAAAGTCCCGATGTTTCAACAAAGCCCGGAGCCTTTAAACATCCACGGCGCCTCCAGGTGGACCACCTGGGTGCATAAAAACCACACCGTGCCTCTTCTCCCTGAGAGGCGCGCAGTGTGCGTCTGCAGCAGCCGCAGCAGCAGCCTACTGCGAGAACAATAACTTGTTTTTAGTGATGTGCGCTGACGCTGGAGTGACGGATGGTGGAAGGTGACAAAGAAGGGGCTATAGGGATGGTGCATGAACCAGTGGCTCGAGACGGGACAGGATGAGGAGAGAGGCTACTTACGCTGCTGTTCTCTCCTGTCCAGTGGACCATCGCCTGGTTGTGGGTCGCATCCCCTTTGAGCACGAACGAGCTGCTGAGCAGGGACATTTGTTTATCCCAGGACAGGGCTCTTCTGAAGCGGGGTGTGCTCCCCGCCCCGACTGCTTTCTGGCCCGGCAGGAAGCCTCTTTCTCCGCCGTTCAAGTCAAACGTGCGATCCTCCCAGCCTCGCCGGTTTAAAGCCACGCTGCCACAGCGCACGGGTCCCGGTAGTGCCATCCAGGCCGAGACGGTCAACAGAAAGACGCAGAGGTACGCAGCAGCTGAACCCGGTTCTTCGGGACGGAGAGGTGCCATGCTTTACGCCGTACTAGCGCCCGTAACGCGGAGACTGATGAAGAGACTGCTGATGCTTGTGGGAGATAGATAGGTGTATACTGTAAACCGAGGAAGAGAGAGTGAGGGAGGGATAGAGGGAGGGGAACTGGAGCGAAGTCAGACAGTGAGAACAACGTGGACGAGTCTCGGTGCCAAGTACGAACCACAGGACGATGCAGCGGTGCCATCTGCTGTCCTGCAGCTGTACTGAGCTCGCATCACTCCATCCATCTAAATAAAGAGTTCCAACATGACGGCAGCACTGCCTAAAATCACTGCCGTTATTTTTAACAACATTGTGTGTTTCTTGTTGGTTTCAAACTGAATTCGACCGTGATCAGTGTCACAGTGATCCACAACTGACGTAGTGGTGCAGTGGTTTAGTCTTCGCGACCTTCGTATGCTTATCTGCTGATGTCAGGGCATAGACTGATAATCAGCAACTCCTGATGGTCACTTAGTAACATGCTTAACCACTGTTGAGTCTATAGCTTTTTTGTTCGGGTGGGAAATATGCTGAAAATACATTTATGTATTAAACTTACATACACACTGACATTTTCTGAGTTAGATTTAGTTGCTTATTGCTTATCTGTTTTATTCTATTTGTTATATTTATGAGTACCATGGACATGTTTAGTAACTTTGTGTCAGATAAAGTGAGGGTTGAATGAGTTGGTCATACGTTCTAATTTATATTTATTTCTTTAACTTATCTTTTTCTTTAATTTAACTGATAGAAACAATTAAATGACCTTAAAAAAAGCATGCGTGACATCCGTCCCTCTGTGTATTGGTTGCCAGCTGGCCAAAGGGTCAGAGTTCACATTTGATCTCACAAAGTAATAGCTCCATTCCCTGCGTCTGTTCTCGTATCCAATTACACTTGGAGGCAGAATTAAACTATGACTCGGTGGTTTTGTAGTATTTGGGGTTATATGTAAACAAGAGTTCACCTTTACTTTCAGATTACATGTTTTTCTAATATAGCAGGTATTATTTTTGCTCATATTAGAGATAAATCCATAAAAACACTGTACAAAATCAAAAAGCTTAACATGTTTTTATTAGTCTCAGGGTTTGCTTATAAAACTGAAGGGTTTAACTATGGTAACCTTAGTAACTGCCATTTCAGTGCGGATTGATGTAATGCGGAAAACATGGAACATTTTGAGAGTGATTATAGTTCCATGAGAATTACCGTCCCAATTTCTTTACAAAACTGTGGGCCTATAAAACCCTGGGTCTACTGGTTTGCGGCTCTAGGTATATAAAAATGAAACTCCATTGAATATCAGTTTTGCCTGTGGATTTCTTCCTTCAAATCAGGCTTTCCATGATCAAAAGGGGCGTTCACCTGTAATTGTAAAGCATCCAATATGAATCCTTGCTATTTAAAAATATCTGTCATTTGTCAAAGTCTCTTTCATATGATAGATGCCACAAGGAGGGAAAGTCCAGTTTGCGCCCAGAATTACAAAGTGGGAACAAGAACTCAATTTTAACAGTAAAAGGCCTAATCAGAAAGATGCTAAAGGAGGGGAAGTCATCTTCTGTGACTGGTTGTGGGGTGCGTGGAAAGACAAGAAAGAAAAGGAGAGCATAGAGACAGCAGGAACAATAAACATGATTATATTACAAAAACAAAAAAAAAGTTCAATAAGTAGCGATAATTAGAGGGAATTTAATGTGATTTATTGATGTACAGAATTCAGTTTGAAGTTTTTGGCAATTAGACTCCGATGGCCCATCACAGCAGAACAGAATCCCAGCGGTGATTGGAATTAGAACAAGACTCCCTGGAGTCTAGACGCTGGTGATAGAGATGACGATGGAAGTTTGAATGGAGCCTGAGTGACCAGTGAGAGATGGTAATGGGGAAGAGGTGGATTGCACGAAGGCAACTGCAAGGGAGAGTGACAAATGTGCAGTGAGATTTAAAGGTCTAGATTGGACTAGACCCGTGATGTCACTATCAGCTTGACAGCATGGGAAAGTACAAGTGATGTAAAGCTTAGATTAGCCACCAACATTAGCCACCTTATTGCTCGTCTATCCCAGTTTGTATGTTTCTGTGTGTGCATGTGTATCTGAGTATGTTGGTTATTGTGTAGCAGCGGGACTCAGTTAAGATTTCCCAACTTTTGGTTCTGGATACTTGCTGGCAATCATGTACCTGTGTTGATCTTGTTAAGAGCCGCAACTTAGGGGAGTGGCTGAGCTTCAGTCAGTGCTGGATTGTTGAAGGACTACTGTCAGTGTAAATATGGTTGTGGTATTAATTTATGGTACTGCATGTGTACAGGAACATGTAGCGAGAGTGGAGAGAAAATTGTAAATACTGAGTAAGCTGAAGTGGAAAGCAGCCTTCAGAATCAGAATCAGAATCAGAATACTTTATTGATCCCTGGGGGAAATTATTTTTTGTTACAGTGCTCCATTTTAAACCAACATTAAGACAAGACAGACAATACGCTAACTAAGAATAGTACAATATATACATATATATACATACATACATACATACATAAGTCACTTATAAATAAATATTTGGAAAAGAAACATGTGTAGTTGTAGCAGCAAACAGTGTGTTAAGTGGATGCGTTGTACAGGGAGAGGAATCACTTGCACCTGGGATTGGGATCTTGTGGACCTTTTCACGGTACTGAAGGATTCCTGCGCTTGGGTCCCTGCTTTGCCTCACAGCAATTCTGACACTTTACTTTCTTTAAGAACAGACCTTTAACATTTTTAGGTTTTATTGTTACACACAGAATTGATTTGCTTTATATAAGCTTTCCTACACAATTTAACAAATATTCACTTTATACATAATCATTACACATTTCATGTCCTTTCCATTGCTTTGTTAATAAGCAATAATCTTATATTTACAGTCGTATGAAAGAAAGTTTTCCCAGAACTCTGTGCAGTCCTGTGAAAAACTAGCTACAGGCTGCTTCCACACTGGAAGTTGTTGCTGCTTCCATAGGAATTGAGATGGTGAATAGCAGCCAAGTGCTGTTAATGAAATGCGCTTGATTAACTGATCATCAGCAAGTGTGATAATCTCTATAAAGGAGCAGGTTTTTTTGGCAGGTTGCTGGCCTGGTGCATTTGGGTGCATGTTAATGCCACAGTGTTCCCAATCAGAGAATTTGCAAAAATCCCAAATTGTAAGAGACTGGTAGAGTCACACAGCTCTACTTCCTGGCTGCGGCTCAGAAGGTAGAGCAGGTCACCTACTAATTGGAAGGCTGGCGGTTTGATCCCCATCTGCTGTGGTCCGCATTGGACAAGCATAGAAAAAAATGCTTGTGTGAATGAGGCAAGTTGTAAAAGTGCACTTTTAAGAGTAGAAAAGCATTATATAAGAACCAGTCTGTTTACCCTTTACAAAAATAATTACTTTGAGTTAATACTGCTGGTGGGTCAACAAGCTAATGAATTTTGGGCTTTAGTTACAACTATAAATATAGTTATAGTTGGTGTCATGTATCATGTATGGTTTGCATACATGATATAAATCTGTATAAGCATTCTTGCTTATTCAGATGTTTTATCTGTAATTGTGTTTTCATGTTTGTAAGATGTCTAGCAATATATTGTTCTTACCAGAGACTCAGGGATGTTTAGATTTAGGAGGAAACAGACAAGATTATGTTTACCGGGGGCAACTGTGGTTGCATAAAGGATTTCTGCATGTGCAGAATTCAGGAGGGAAACTGGCTTCGTGTTCTTCTGGTGGATCACCGGCATCAAGTTTTATATACGGTCTTTCTCTCTGGAATTTGAATTTTCTTAGATATTTCTCGGATGTGCTGGTGTACTCTCACAGTCCAGTGACATGAATGTTAAAATATTTTAGTGGTTCTCTACAGATTTTTAGGCACATTCCAGTTAAGAAGCCAAAAACAGTTCATGCTACACCCCATAACTTTTGTCAAATCAATTCAACTTTGTTAATATAAGCTCGAAATCTCAACAACAGTCATCTCAATTTTATTTGACCTCATCACTTCATTTTTCACCACGTTCTCTGCACTGTAGTGGACATGTGGACGCTGCACTGAGGCTCACTGGGTTAATCTGTGGTTCTGAACAGTTCTTAAACTGGTTGTTTTGCTACGACTCGCAGCTTGTCATGGTTCAACCTGACTCTCACCCAGTGTCAGCTTGGTTAGACATAAGCATCACCAAAAAGATACTGAAAAACAAACAAGGTATTTCAAAGATCTAACACCAGTCAATCACAAGGCTTAATTTTTGTAAACCATACCTTGTTGTTCTTTTTGTAAGGTATAAAAGATCCAATGAGCAAATCACTTTTTCTATAGTTTTGAAGATTTACATATACAGGAGACCCTAAAAAGAATGTGATGTGATACCTTAAGAGTCTGATCATAAATAAGATAGTCACATCAGTGTAAACATACTTGATATGAGCTCTGTCTTTTAAACATCTGCAAAATCATATAGAAATTTCAAACAGCATCTCTGTGACCTCTTAGCAAACTCAGTTTGGTAAATATTTCACGGCCTTCGTTGATAGTTGTCTGTGGCATCTCTGTGTGTATGTGATCACAGATGAGGAGTATGGATTAGTGAGGCAGGTCTTGCATCATTTGAGCACAGAGACAGCTCAAGGGGAGGAGAACCTTGGACTGCAGAAGCCCAGCTTGTTAGCATGCTCCTGAGCTGCTCCTGAATGTAGCTTTGTTCATCATGAAATTTTCATGGATAATTGGATGTTATGAAGATTAATGTGCTTTAGTTTCACAGGGCTGCAGGAGAACTTTGAAAGACTTTGACACTCAACACCTTCCAGGGGATGTCTCTGGCCTTTTTAGGAGATACGTGATATGGTCTTACCTTGATAACTCAGCTTGATGCACTAGGTCCTTTCACTCACATCATGGCAATTTGAGCCAGCGGTTCGACAGCGTCTGCATTGTGCTGTGCTCTCCACATGCCCCGGAGGATCTGCAGTCTAACTTCATTGTAATTTATTGCAATTAAGGAAGGCACAGAAGCAAAACTAATTGTACATTTCACTCTCATTACTAACATTTCCTTCTGTTCACTGTAGACTGTAATATATTTAATCATAAATCAACCAGAAAAACATTCCACATATGAGGCTCCTTGGAGTAAAATCTCGTGTGTTTCAAATTATGTTTGGGAGTTAAAGAGGTTAGGAGGAAATGCGGGAGAAAATATTAGATGTAAGGATGAAAAATGCTTTCTCTTGAATTTAGTTTTTCTTTACTGATTGTGCATTCTCCGGCACATCACAACTGTTTAAATTCTGTCTACGTGTATTTTAAATTGAAGGAGTTTTTATTTGAACACATTTCAAGGTCTCTTTTGAAATTTTGTGGGTGAAAAAAGATTTATATTTTATGAAAATATTGGCAGTGCTGCAAACTTTTTGGTATTCTTGGGAAAATTTTGCTTCTATTCAAAAAGTTTAACAGAGTTTTTTTCTCCATTTATAATTGCAAAAAGTTTCGTATTGTTTTACAAAAAAATCAAAATGTTGCTCCTTTTATTT